TGTGCACTGATAACCCACTTGCTTCATCCACATAGACATGTACAGAGCCTAACACACACATTCAATGAGCAAGGGCTCTCTCATTCTCTTTGTCTCTCTCTTTCTTTTTCTTCTCCTCCTTCCCCCAGGGAACTTAGCCTTGTAAAATTAAACTGTGCTGTTTTGGAACTTAGGTTTTTTTTTATATGGCACATTTTCATGCAGAAAAATTGAATTATTGATTGAATTGTGCTGTTAGAAGTAGGTTCATAATAAATAGGTTACTGGTTGATAAACTTGCAAACAGAACAAAGCCAAAAATTGTACTTGTTACCCCCTGTTGAATCTGGCCTTCTGTTTCAAATTAATTAGATTTTTGGACAACTGTGCTGAACTTTGTCACATCCTTATTAAAATTATTTAAGGATTTTGAAAAACATCTCAGAGGGACTCTGAAACTAATCAGAGTCTGGTACTGAAAATTGCATTAACAATCGTAAACCTGATTAATCTTTTACCCAGTTACCTTATTGATTATTGCTGCAATTACTACAAATAACAGATCATGCAAAGAATAGCAGTGAAACACATATTTTTTAACTGCTGTTCATATATTTAGTGTTAACACCCTTGCTATATGTTTAATATATAATTTTTGTATTGTTAAATACTGCAGCACTCCAAAGCTAGAAAGTATCATGCTAAATATGGTCTCAGTATTAGGAGATTCACTTCTTTGTTTTTCAAATAATGTGGCATTTCAGTTTACAAACTGCCTCTCACTGGTTCTGTTCTTGCAGTTTAAGCTTTGGGCTTCAGAGTGATGTATATAATAAGGTAGCTTCTCCCCTCCCCCCCATTTATGAGAAATTAGTGTTCAGTCAGGTTAAATGACTTCCTGAAGGCTCCCTAGATTAATGAGAGGCAGATTCAGGATGCAACCCCATTTTAATAACAACTATTTATTAAATACTTACTATGTACAGACATTTGTGATATGGATAAAATAATTTGTGATAGGAATAAAATGAAAACCAAGACACTTACAGAAGTTAAGCCAAAAGAGTTATTACTGTTGGTTATTTTCTCTTTTTGTCCAACTCATGTTAAAATATCTTTATACATAAGATGTAGAGGTTTAGGTAGTTCCAGATACTCAGGAGACAGAGATTGATAGAATTCTGATTTGAGGACAACATGGGCAAAAAGTTAATAAGACTCCATCTCAATTCACAAACTGGTTGTGCTGGTACATGTATGTGATATTAGGTATACAGGAGGTATAGGTAGAAGATTGTGGTCTAAGATAGGTCCTGGGGGGGAAAGAAAGATTTTTTTTTTTGATGTTCATGCTTATTTGTCTTTTGTTTTTGTCTAGTGACATTCCCTTTTTGTCATCACAGATTGTAGAACCAATTTGGAGATAGTTCTTCCCCCCTCCCTCCTCTGGTCCTGGGGCCTGAACTCAGGGCCTGGACACTGTCTCTGAGCTTCTCTGTACTCAATGCTAGAGCTCTACCATTTGAGCCACAGTGCTACTGCCAGTTTTTTCTGAGTAGTTTACTGGAGATAAGAGTCTCATGGACTTTCCTGCCTGGGCTGGTTTTGAACTGGTCAATCCTTAGATCTGTCTTCTACATAGCTAGGATTACTGGTGTGAGCTACCAGCGCTTGGCCAAGAGTTCTTTTAAAAGAAGGATATAATAATAAAAAGATACCGAGTATCAAGATCTAAAAGCAGCTCGCTTTGCAGTTCATTAATTTCTTCCCCATATGAGGTTTAGAGCAGTCCTCTGAGTAGATCCTGTCTTCCTTTAGAGCTGAACTGGGTAAAGTGGGTGCCTTGGCTAAAAGCTTTGCTGGGCCCACGTGCTATAAGACAGAAGAGGTCTAGTGGTGAATCACCTGTGACCGAGCCCTTGGACTCTTCTGTTTTGTTCTTCTTCCTGGGCAGCATAGTCAAAGTGGCTCAGCAGTACTACTCTGCCAGGAGATACCATCCATGCCTTGGGGAATGCTGTCTATGCAGTAGCCTGAGTGCTGAAGCCTGGGGGCCTAGTGATAGTGACTGGCCTCTTTAGCTTGTTCCTCAGAGAACAGTGTGTACCTTAGCCTTCCATGAGGGTTTGGTTACTGCCCTAATGTGCCTATTTATTTGTGAATTACTTTGCTTGTGGAACCCAAGATTTGCTGTTAATATAACACAGATCAAGCCTAGTATGTCAGCAGGAGGAAGCGCACTTGGAGTTGGGAGAGTTATGTAAAAGAAAAAACCTAACTAATTGCTTTAGAGAAACAGGTACGTGGCATACTAAAATGTCTATCAGAATAATCATGGTACAAAGAGATGTATGTAGATTATTTAATTCTCACAGTGATCACGGGCATATGTATACTTTGCCAGTTGATTCAGCACAAACCTACAGTAAAAAGGAAATTATTTTTATTTATTTTGTGAAGTAAATAAATAAAGCTGGAAAACAGATCAATATCATGCATGCAAGGTATTATAGTAGGAAAAAAAAAATGTATTGCCCCTGTTCTGACCCTTTGCATTTGAGGTTTGTTTTCAAACTTGACCCCAAGCACCCACTTCAGACAACTCTATAATTAATTTGTTAGATAAAGCATAAGGATATTTTGTCTTGATTTCTAGGACTATGATGAAGTAGTAGCTGAAATTACTAACCTATTGTACGTAGCAGTTAATTAAAGAAAAGCATTAACTATAGGAGAACACCACTGCGGCTGTTGTCTTGTATCAGTATAAAAAGGCAGTAATTTTTCTGACAGCCACTGATTGGAAAGTTGCTTGCAGCCTTCCAGAAGCAAGGGGTACATGCTGTGGATCAATAACCGGCAAATTTCCCATTAAAAAGAATACCTGAGCAATGTTTCAAATAGCCACTGGCATCTACACTTTCCACAGAAACCTCAAATACTTGTGTGCTGAGGACAAGTCATTTTCGGACAATTTTTCCAGACTACTTGTTAACAGTTATTGCTGTCCCAAAAGGTTGACGGCCTACATGATTGATACTTCATTTACTTGTCATCGCTGTTTGAATAATGGCAAGAGCTGTATTTCTGTGGCTCTGAGGAAGAACCTTCTGAAAGGTGCTGCTTTATTCTAGAGAGTAGTTTGCAGATGTTTATGCTGTGTATGTGTATTAAAGTTTTTGGGTCCATTGTAGAGGATGCTTTCCTTCAGGTCTGAAAGCCTTTGGAGAAGAGTAGATTTATATCTGCCCATAGCTATCAAAAGTTTATCTGTACTGTATTTGTCTTTAGTACAAAAAGCTTTAGATTTGTTAACTTGTGATTCCTGATATGATGAAGAATTTTATAGCTTCCTTTTATTTTTAAGGGAAAAATGAACATAAAAGCAGAAGGAAGGGTATGTGTCTTCTGGAAAAGAGACATTTTTTAGAATATCGGCAAAATATGATAGTCAAGGAGGATTTTCCTGGGAATGTAGTGTTCAAGTAGTATGTATGTGTTTTAAAGATTAAAACAGCAAAGATGAGAGAGGAGTTCTGCTCTTTGACAGCCCTTAAGACACAAAAATCAGTGGTTTATACTGTTGATGTTTTTCTATACTGAGCATTTTTTTTCTTTTTAGTGATACTAGAGTTTGAACTCAGGCCCTTGAGCTTGCCGGCAGGCAGTCTGACACCTGAACCATGTTCTATTGTGCATTGATTATGTTAAAATAGGGCCTCGGTTTTTGCGTGGGTTCACCCCTGAGCTATAATCCTCCTATTTTATACTTTCCACTCTAGCTGGGATGACAGGCCCTCACTGCTATGCCTACTTTCTTTCATTGAGATAGAGTCTTATAAACTTTCTTGTCCAGGCTGGCTTGGAATCTTAGACCTTCCATTCTTAGCCTCGTGTATAGGTGGATGACAAATGTATGTCACTGTCCAGTTACTGGTTGAAATTACAGGTATGAACCATTGTACCCAGCACAGTGATAGAGCACTATTTGTGAGACTCTGAGTTTGATCCCCAGCCCTACAAAAGAAACAAAACAACAAAAGGAAAGAAAAGCAGTTGCAGCACAGAAGCTATTTTAGTATGCTCACCAATGAGCATACTAGGAAATAGGATGTAGAATACAGTGTAGCCTGTTTAGTGTTTTGTATTTGTAAAAGACAATGAAAGCTTTTTTTGAGGTGGAGGGGTCAGAATGGAGCTTGAACTCACTGGCATTATGCTCATTTACAGCAGGTACTTTGCCACTTGATCTACATTTCCAGTCTAACTTTTGTTGATAATTGGAGATGGTGTCTTGTGGACTTTTCTGCCCAGGCTGGCTTCAAAGATCCTCTAGGTCTTAGCCTCCTGAGTAGCTAGGATTACAAGAGCCACAGACAATTTTAATAATGGTGTGTGTGTGTGTGTGTGTGTGTGTGTGTGTGTGTGTGTGTGTGTGTGTGTGTGTGTGTGTGTGTGTGTGTGTGTGTGTGTGTGTGTGTGTGTGTGTGTGTGTGTGTGTGTGTGTGTGTGTGTGTGTGTGTGTGTGTGTGTGTGTGTGTGTGTGTGTGTGTGTGTGTGTGTGTGTGTGTGTGTACTGGGGCTTGAATTCAGCATGTTGTCCCTTAGCTTTTTCTCTCAAGACTGGCATACTACCTCTTGAGCCACAGCTCCACTTTTTGGTGGTTAATTAGAAATAGGGTCTCATAAACTCTTCTGCCCAGGTTGGCTTTTGAGCTTTTGTGATTTCAGCCATCTGTGTAGCTAGGATCACAGATGTGAGCTACTGGTGTCTGACAATAATGTAGTCTTAATACTTTTACTCTTAAGGAAAAGTGGTAGCACGGAGGACAACAGTATTCTGGATGCTCAGTCCTGAATGTGTTCACTGTAGTCATTTTGATGTGCAAATAGGGGGAGAGTATTCTCAAGGCTGGTATATGTGCAGTAGTAATTTACAAAAGTCCTATAAATTAAACAACCCATAAGTGTCTGTTCCAGTATTCATACATGACTGAGTAATTTCTATAATCTCTTTGCAGTATTATTCCACAGTAATGGAACAGCAAGTGAATGGACAGCTAATAGAGCCACTGCAGATATTTCCAAGAGGTAATGTCGAAGAAATTCTAATCAACAATGATTATTTCAGTAAACGGTTTCATCAACAGTTATGTTTTCCAAAGGTTTAAATGCACATAACATGATGCTTAGCTCTTAATTTGAAAAAACAAAAGAAGTATTCATTATCGTGGGGATTGCAGGCTATATTATAGTTATAGTAGATAAAATATCTAATTTACTTGAGTAAATTAAGCTAACTAGGTTGTTTTTGTTTTTGAAGTACATACTTATATTTGCTGAAAGAACTCTTTAGGGGGTCCACATGCTTTCTAAACCAAGGCAAATGAATGACTTGAATTCTAGATATTTATGAATTGTGGCTTGGGATGATGACCATCACTACTGAGGAGAACCTTTCACCTTGCACAGAGGGATTTCAGGAGAGAAATTTGGGTAGATAGTTGATGTTTGGAGAAGTATTTTCTAAATAATGAAATACTTTCTTAAGTGGAAATTTGATTGTTAAATCTCCAACATTATGAGCTGATGAGAGTGAGTTTCAGTGAACTACCTGGTACAAGATTTTTCCCCCTTACAGTTTTGGAAGTATTAGTCTTGTATCAAATATAATTGCTCAAATGTATATAAATGTCTCCTTAAAACTTGAATAATGGGGAAAAAGAACAGTTTAATTATATATATCTTTAATCCATTGTACATCACCCCATTTGAAATTCATGTTTTCTAAGTAAGGGAATAGGTAAGGAAATTCTGTAAGTAACTCTTCTAGAAATAACTTAATTGAGATAATTAAAAGTTAAACTTACCTTCCTTAACTAATACTGTACAAATAATCATGGTATGAGTTTTCCAATTAAACATTCTAGACTTTCATTACCTATAACTCTGAAATTTGAATGGCTCAATTAACCGGTAGGCTCTTCCTTGCAATGATAAAATCTCCAAAGGCACCTGGCTTAGCCAGCGTCTAAAATCTGGGTTCAGGAGTAATACTGTTCTTCTGGTGTTTGCATAGGAAGCAGAATTGGGGTGCTTAGTACATTTTTAATAACTTATCAAAGTAAAATAGAGCCATTTAAGATCAATAGTATCTGAAAGAAATATAATTAATGCAAATCTGTTTCACTTGAAAACTAAACACAAAAAGAAGGATAGAAAAGAGTGAAAGGGAGACAGAGAAAGAGAAAGAGAGAGCCTTTTCTATGTTATTAGGTTACTAGCAAGGATGCAGATTATTTTTAATGTTTTCAGTGAATGGAGAATTTGGGAAAAGTTCAAAATAATTTTTCTATTAAGGAACAGTTGAAATATCTGGAAGTTTTCCTTAATTGCTTCAGAGGTCTGTTAAAGTGAGCAGATGTACAATAGTACAGTATCCTGGAGGATTCTAGTTCCAAGGCTGGGTTTGGGACATTTCTTTCCTTTTTTTTTTTTTTTTGAATGAAATGCTTCTCTTCATCTGAAGTTTTTCTAAGTTGAGGTTGCTTTTTTTCCATTGTGTGCGCAGTCCTCCAGTTTCATTGTCTACACTTTCATTTCCATTCTCAGACATTAGCTCTATTCATCATCGACATTACTGTTTGCTATCATTTCTTTCAATATGCCTCTCAGGTTTGATTGTTTCTCTTTTAAAAAAACCCTTCCTTCCTTCCTTCCTTTTTTTCCTTCCTTCCTTTTCTTCCTTCCTTTTCTTCCTTCCTTTTCTTCCTTCCTTTTCTTCCTTCCTTCCTTCCTTCCTTCCTTCCTTCCTTCCTTCCTTCCTTGTCGGTCATGGGGCTTGAACTCTGGGCCTGGGCATTGTCCCTGTGCTCTTCAGCTCAAGGTCAGTGCTTTACCACTTGAGCCACATCACCACTTCTGGTTTTCTGGTGGTTTATTGGATATACGAGTCTCATGGACTTTCTTGCCTGGGTTGGCTTTGAACTGGGATCCTCAGATCTCAGCCTCCTGAGTAGCTAAGATTACAGGTGTAAGCCACTGGCACCCAGCTTTGTTTTTTAAATCTCTCTCTCTCTCTCTATCTCTCTATTTCGGTGCTGGTCCTGGGGTTTGAATTTAGAGCCCACTTTCATGCTGTCTCTGGGTTTTTTGGCTCAAGGTTTGCATTATACTATTTGAGCCATAGCTTCACTTCTAGCTTTTTGGGTAGTTAATTGGAGCTGTCTCATGGAGTTTGCTGCATAGTCTGGCTTTGAACTGCTGTCCTCAAATCTAAGCCTCTTGAGTAGCTGGGATTATAGGCGTGATCCACCAGTGCCTGGCTGATTGCTTCTCTTTTATGGGTAAGATTGTAGAGGCTCAGAAAGACGAGATAACTTCAAAGTCAGACAGCTTCTGTGAGTGGTAATATACCCTTTGAGTAAGAATTTTGTTTAAATTGTAATTTGCTTTCAATGGAAAGGCATTTAAGTTAAAATATTAGAAGAACATTCAGGAGGATAGTTTGGAAGGTTTGTTGGAAGGTTGGAAGGAGACTAGGTGTTTGAGAGAACTGTAAAGTAGAAGATACTAGATATTACTGAAATAAAACTTTCGAGGCTTAATATATTAGTCTTTTCAAGCCAAAATTTCAATTTCCAAACATGAAAGTTCAGTCTCCTTATCTCTGGGGTTTTTGTGTATTGTAATACAATTCTTTTGTTTTTTGTTTTGTCTTTGTTCAGAGGTGTTAGATATCAATAAGTATGAAACTTGACTAAGCTCACTTTGAGCCTTAGGATCAATGAAAATACTGGGGTTTTTGAATGTTGTTTAGATTTCCAGTCATAAAAATTTGAGAAAGCAATTATGGAAGGAACAGTGTTGAGGTTAGGTAAGATAAATACCTGGAATCTTCAGTGGAAACATTCTCAATCATTGTCTTAGGAAGTACTGATAGTCCCCCAAGGACCAGGCATCAAATGTATGTGATGGTTGTTTTGTTCAAAGAGTTAATTTCCATCTTAAGGAAAGAAGATGTGTAGTCATAATTTTAATGTGCTTTAGCATGATAAGTAAAACCCTTTTAGTTGGTTTAGATGCATTTTCTAGGAAAACAAGATAATAAATTTGAGTTTACTTGAAATATACAAAATGAAAGCAATTCATGCCTTGTAATTATTACCCATATATTTTTATTAAACAGCTCTATTTCTTTTCAGAAACAGAAAAATACATGTACATCTGAGAGAGGAGCAAAATAAAATTCAAATTAATCTGTCCTCAAACAATCAATCAAAATTGACAATCCTTTAACATACAATTTGTAGAGCACTATAGTTTTCAAATGAAAGTAGTCTATCACATGGGCAGGAAGCTTTTGTATTTTTAACATTTGACTATGAAGAAGCATTTGTTGAACTGGAAAAGAACAAATCTGTAACTCAAGATTGTATTAAGAAATTAATATTTTTCTTGGTACTACTTTATACTAAATATTGGCAGATATCAAGATCTGTGAGAAATTTAATGGAATTACATGTCTGTATCTTAATAAATTTGTCTGTTTATAACTATACACAGTAATATTCTAACTTAAACATTTTGTTTAGAGTCCCTAATGATCTTTTTTTGGTGTTAAAACAAAAAATCCTTCCACTTCCTCTCCCAAACAAAACAAATCCCCCCAAACCTTGCTATTTTGAAAATAGTTTAACTCACAGCAGATATACAGTGTAATAGAGTGAGGAAAGATTGCTGAAATTAGAATTATGAAAGGAATCTAATCATTTTAGCTCAGTTAACTTGATTTTTATATATTTTACAGAGAAATTGGAATTGATATGAAGTGGTGTCAGAAAGCTCTTTGCATTTATAAATGCTCACTCCTGCAAGTTAAAACCCTGGTTCATAATTCCCACTTTGGGTCTTGGGAGCCACTTTTCAATCATTTCTCTCTGCTAATTTTGGTGTCACCCTCATTTCTTTTTAAACGATTCATTTTGAGCAAATTTGTAAATGGCCCTGATGTGTTCTACAATTTAGTCAATTACTGTTTCAGCCTGCAAGCCTCCTGGGGAACGGAACATACATGGCCTGAAGGTATGAATTTCAATAATTGTTTCAGTAAAGTTAGATGGATTTGTAATGCTGTGTTCCACTTATTGAAATGTCAAATAAAACTGCACTTTCTCAAGCCCTGACAAGCGATCTCCCCCCCTCCCCCCTGCCCTTTTTAAATGGGAGGAGGAGGGGGCTGTTTATCTGTAGCATTTACTTACTGGGGTTTAGATGCTGTATCTTTAATTATTTGGAATTGCTTTAGTGGTCAGTTTCTTTAGGGTGATCTTGGGTACTAGTGCCAAGAAGATTTAGTAGAGGGAGAGAGTAGACTTCATTTCAGTGATTAAGCACATAAGCAAAGCACAGAGAACCGCATCTTCTCCTTTTGACATGTTTGTACTGGAAACATGTCTTGTTAATGTCTCTTCATTGTTCTATGCATTTTGAGTTCTGGATTTCTGCTTAAGGCTTCAAAGCTGAAAGTAAGTCTGTTTTAGTAGGCTCAAGTATTTTATAATTAATTACTTGGATCTCATATTCTAGTGAATAAAAAACAGTCTACAATGTTTGGTTTTAGAGCTGGAAGGATGATACCTTGAGGTTTTCTGCTAACCCCTAGATATATTCTTAGTATACTTTCATGAACCTATCATATTTACATGTGTTTTGGATAGTAAATTGGATTTTTCCTTTATTTGTCTTTCATTTTTCAGTGCTGTTAAAGTATTTAAATGATAACAGAAATAGAGGGTTATATAATGTACAGACTGTACAGCCCCTAACCTATATATTGAATAGACTCCAACTGTGGGTCTGTCTAGGAATAAGCTAATTAACCTTTCCAGTGAAATGAGAAATCTGTGGCAAATTATAGGTTAATTAGAACTGTGTCCTCAGAACATGAGACTGATCAAGATTCTTTCTTTACTTATAGGTGAATACCCGGGCTGGACCCTCCCAGCACACTAGCCCAGCAGTCTCAGATTCACTTCCAAACAGTAGGTGAGAGTGTTTGAGGGGTGATCTCTGTGATTATCTACAAGGTGCAAGTAGGATGGAGAAGAGGCTTGTGGGATGACAACTCTTTCCTGTAAGAACAAGAAATGTGTTGGAAGGCTAAGATTGGCAGGATCTCTGTTCCAAGCCAGCCCTGGGAAGAAAAGTCTGTGAGACCACATCTCCATGGAAGAAATGGGGCATGATGGTTTATACACACATGATATTCTAGCTACAGTGAGCAGTGTAAGTAGGAAGATAGCAGTCCACAGTGAGCCCATGCAGGAATTGAGATCCTATTTATTAACTTATTTATTGTTGGTACTGAGTTTGAATTCAGGGTCTTATTCTTACAAGTCACGCACTGTACTAAATGAACCATAGTCCCAGCCCATTTTTAGTTTCATTTTTCAGATAGGGTTTTGGTTGATTTTCCCTCCCTTTCTTCCTACTTTCTTTCTTTCCTTCCCTCACTTCTTCCCTCTCCCCCCTACCCCCTCTTCCTTTTTTGCCAGGGTTCTTGGACAACAATCCTATAACCTTCCTCTCCTGAATAGCTGGAATTACAAGTGTGTACTACCACCTCTGGCTCCTGACAATTTTATTATGGTGTCAGTGTGTCCACCCACCAGCTTCCTGATGTGAACACATATCTCTTAAGCAACTTATTTTATCATAGAGTATAGTTAACTAGTTATTTACCAGTGGATCATTTGCCTGTACTCATGCAGGGAAATATTTCTGTTCTCCACAGAGAGGTTGACCCAGCTGAGCTTCGTAGCTTCTTTCTCCATTCTGTCTGGACATGTGAGCTACACACAGCCTTGCAGGCCTGGTTTCTCTCAGCAACAGGAATCAGGGTGTTTCATTATTACCACTTCTTCCAGAAAAGGTATTAGCCACAAAGACTGATTGTGAGTCTGAGGAAAAACAAGGTCTTCCCTAGTGTTTTAGGTCAAGTTTCATCATGATCTAAAAAGCCATATGTAGTTGAAAAATGGCAAGATAGAGAATCAAGATAATGTCTCAGTTCTGCCACATTCATTTCAATAACGTGGGAATTAGCTTGATTATTAAAAATCATTCATATATATTCATGGAGTTCAGAAGTTCAGAGACTGCCTGTAAGCTGGAGGTTTGCATTTTCACTTAGGGGGTATAACAGATTCCCAATAGTAATAATACTAGTGAATCTTGTAGAGAATGTGAGTTGAGTCACATACAAGTGATGTTCTGTGGTCTAGGCTGATAACTAATCAACAGGTATTGATTCTGACTACATCTTACTCATTAAGTGCTGTCCTGTGTACTAGGAATACAATGTGGTCCTCCTTACCTGCTGAACCTCACCATCTGGTGTGTTTGTGTGTGTGTGTGTGTGTGTGTGTGTGTGTGTGTGTGTGTAGTATGTACACATACATGTGTATATATATGTATATATCTATTTAGGCACACATATAGGTATATGCCTACATACACACATATACATATATATATGTAGACCATTGATATCCATAAGTGTATGGTTCCAAAAAGACTACTGTTGAGATCTGTGCTTAGGATGCATAAAGTACTGTCCTGCAGATACTTGATGTAGTCTTCCCATACTACTGCTTAACTTCCTATGAAGACAGATTCGCCACCTTTCAACCCATTTAAAATTTTCACTTTATCACTTAAATTAAGCGCATTACTTGCCCTTTTTTGGTGTGTGAAGATTAGTATAACCTTTACCTTGCTTTTGGGGCATCATTTGTTTTTGTGGGTGGCAAATTTTCACAAAGTTAAGTGCAAGAAAACACACAGCAAATCATACAGGGATTTAAACACTGTCTGATTTAAGCATAATGTTACCTGATGATAACATGGGACTGAGAGCTTCTCTCCATCAACTGAGTAATGTAATGCATGTGCAGGAATTTTGTTTTTGAAATTTATATTGATTTTTTAAAACCTTAGTGTTTTTTGACTACATTGAACAAAACCATGTGAGATACATTTGCAAATTATATGAGCTTACTGTACACAAATTATATCTTTCAATTAAAGTGAAGGGAGCAAGTGGCTGGGAAGAGAAAGACCATCAGATAGGAATGTGCTTAGATTTAAATGGGTACCCCATGTGATATTTGCATCTATACCTGAAGGATAGGATGACCCAGCTATGTCAAGAAACAGAGAAGGAGCTGGACGCTGGTGGCTCACTCCTGTAATCCTAGCTATTCAGGAGGCTGAGATCTGAGGATCACGGTTCAAAGCCAGCCTTGGCAGGAAAGTCTGTGAGACTCTTTATCTTTCAGAAAACTGGAAGTGGTGCTGTGGCTCAAGTGATAGAGAACTAGCTTTGAGCTGAAGAGCTGAGGGACAGTGCCCAGGCCCAGAGTTCAAGCCCCTCGATTGACCCCTCCCCCCCCAAAAAAGAGAGAGAAGTGAAAAAAAAGAAAAAAAGAGATAGAGGAAGTGCTAAGAGAAGGCCATGGGGTGACAAAGGAGCTTAGCATATTTGCATAGGCCAGCTTGACTGGAGCACAGGAAGAGTACCGGGCACAAGTTGCATGGGAGGGAAAGAATGGGAAGAGCAGCTAAAGTGGTAGGAGATGAAGATGCAGATCACATGTCCTTGAAGATCCAGCAATGTTTGGCCTTTCCTCTTGGCAACAGAATTTTGTGGAGTCCAGGGTTCTTAGCAGGTTTTTCAACAAGTACCGATGGGCAACAAGTATAGGAACTCATATTGGCCAAGACAGCTTCTTTTGTTTTTGTGTAACTGTATGGTATGAAGTTTTTTTGTTTTTTTTTTTTTTAGGAGACACAAAACAAAATATACTTGTAACTTTTAGCATGTTAAAAACAATCACATTGAAAAAAGTCAGAGATGACATAAGAAAATAGTGTGTGTGTATGTGTGTGTGTGTGTGTGTGTGTGTGTGTGTGTGTGTGTGTGTGTGTGTGTGTGTGTATATATATATATATACACATAAATCTACAGTATTTATCACTGTTGATATCTATTTGAAACAGCTCAGGTGTGAAGATCTTTTTTTGCATGCTGGGATTTGTCTCTCTTTAGCACCTACTCAAGATTGTTTTTTCCTTCACAATATGACTTCATTTTTTTCAGCTGCTAGCACTTTTAGCCATAGATATGTCTCCTCCTTTACTTCCTGACTCAGCAAATTCTCCCCATCCATCCCTTTGTAAACTGATAAGCTTGTCAACCTTTGCTGCCTCCTAGGCCTTCCACAGCCATACATGTTCATTCTACCTTCTGAGGAGCCCTGCATCTGTCCATATGCAGCATCTGTTTGCTGCACAGGTGCTCCAGGCCTTCCAGGTCATTGCCCGGCCTCCTGGTAGCTTCTTCCAGCAGCCTTGCCTATTTTTCTCCCTTCTGCACTGTAGATGGAGTTATATTGCTAATTATATCAGCCATCTCTTCCTTCAGGTAACCTAGCATTTCTAGGAAGTTCATTTAGCTCACAGTTTTGGAGAAAAAAAGTCTAGATGGCTTGGCACAGGCTTTATGAGGGTTCTCCATTGTCTGCTTGTCCTGAGGGTGGATTGCAGTGTGGGGGAGCATATGTAGGGATAGTGATCACATCTTGGTTTGGTACAGGACTCAAGAAAGAGACTGGTTCCACAATTCCTTCTGTGGGCATACCTCTAGGCTGACCTAAAGATGTGCTCCTACATGTCAGATTTTTAAAGATCTTCCCCTTAATATTGTCACACATTGGCCATTGGGAATAAATTAACTCCAAACCATAGAATAATGCACAGTTTTGAAACCTTTCCTATTGCTTGTGTCTTCAGATGAAGTACAACCTCCATGGATGGTGAGACCTCTGTTCCCTTTCACGTACAACTGTCTGCGTATTCTAGCTTTGCTGATGAACATTTGTGCCCTGAATAGGTCTGTGTTCTCCCACTATTGGGCATGGACATCTGTTGCTGTGACCTTTTTTTCACCCCCTCCTTCACTTCAAGTCTGGCTAAGCTTGGTCATATTTGTGGACCATGTATCTTCTGAACACTGTCTGTGATTACTACTCACCTCCAGGTCTATACCAGATCCCCTTCAACTTCCTATGAATTCTTGCCATCTCCCCTTGTTTGTTTCTTTCTTTCTTGCTTGCTTGATTACTTTCTTGTTTTCTGTTGGTTGTGGGACTTGAACTCTGGGCCTGAGTACTGTCCCTCCCCTTTTCAGGACCAGCACTCTACCACTTGAGCTACAGCACCACTTCCAGTTTTTTGGTGGTTTAATGGAGATAAGAGTCTCACAGACTTTCCTGCCTGGGCTGGCTTTGAACCTTGATCCTCAAATCTCAGCCTCCTGAGTAGCTAGGATTACAGGCGTGAGCTACTGGTGCCAGCCTCTTGTTTCCTTTTATTGAAGCAGTGAGAAAATGTGTGCAAGCACCTCTTTCCCTCCATAGCTTCAGCGAGCTTTACAGACAGTGACTATATTGCCAAAATTCCAAGTCCTGGCATGGTTCACAACAAACACATAGGAGATAATTAGTCATGTTTAAATACATTTCCTTTAAATCTCACCTTTGGATTCAATTCTCTTAGCTTTACTGACATGCACTTTTCATTCTATGGAAACCTCAACTACTTTCTTCATGTGTCATTCCTTAAACTTGTATGACATTTAAATTTTAAAATGCTTTAAAAGTAATTTTTGAGGCTGGGCATGGTGGTACAAGCCTGTAATCCCAGCTACATGGGAGGTGGGAGTAGGACTGTTGTTGTTTGAGGCAAGCTAGCTTAAGTTAGGAGATCCTATCTGAAAAAAGCTGAAAGCTGGTGCATGGTTCAGGTGGAGAGTGCTTGCCTATAAGGATAAGCCCCTGTGTTCAGTCTCCAATACTGTAACAAAAATTAAAAAAAAAAGTTTCAGTGGTTCCTATGATCACATAGATATGTGAAATTTGAATAAACCAAATCACAAAGAAATTTCCAAGGTACTTTTTTTATTTTCTTGCTTTTTTTGTGTACATGTACTAATGCTTGAACTCAAATTCATGGCCTGTCCCTTTTTGTTCAAGGCTGGTGCTCTACTTGAGCCACAGCTCCATTTCTGGCTTCTTGGTGTTAATTGGAGATAAGAGTCTTATAGACTTTTCTGCCTGGGCTGACTTTAAACTGCAACTCTCAGACCTTAGCCTTATTGCTCTATCACTGAAATATACCCTAAACTCCTACTCCTATAGTTGTTGTTTTACCAGTTGGTAAAATGACATAATGAATGAAGTCAGTTTTTTCCTACGGTTACCCTCGAAGCATGAGTTCTTTGCCTTAGGTGAGTGACTATTTACTGAACTGAACTTACTAATACTAGGCTGTAATTATGGAATTCAAGTCCGCTGCCTAAGCAGGGCCTTTCTGGAGCAACTTGGCTTTCTTCTTCTGTAAAATTAGGATGATTAAACTTTCCATCTACTTATCTCTGGAGTTAGTAAGATTGATGAAGCTGTATTAAGGGAATCACATTTCGTTCTTGGTTGAAAGGCATTTTGTAAATGCAATGAATCAAAATGTTATTATTTCAAATTTATGATAGAATGGAATAACTGTGAGGAACATTACCTAAGCTTTGTTTATTTGTGTCTATACATAATTGGAACTATCAAATTGGGAGTTGTTGATGGGAATGTTTCTCAAAATAAAGGTGTGTGTGTGTGTGTGTGTGTGTGTGTGTGTGTGTGTGTGTGTGTGTGTGTGTGTGTGTGTGTGTGTGTGTGTGCGTGCGCGCGTGTGTGTGTGTGCGCGCGCACGCGCCCGTAAGAGATAGACTGATTTTCAGCAAAGTCTGGCTCTTAGTTCTCTCTATAAATTAAGGACGATGACTACATATACCCTAACAGGATAAATTAGGGTAATAACAAATAGTGATTAGCACAGTGCTTGTTACTGGCCATCATTTAATAAATAACACCTGTTGTTAGCATTGTGCTAACTATACTGATTTTCAGGCAGTTTTTATGTCTTGGTATGTGTTGCAGCTTTAGTTCTATTCTACAAGTATTCATAACTGTCCCTTTAGTGTATAGGGTTACTTGGCTTGGGAGAACTTTATTAGTCTAGAATCTTTAGGTGAGGTCTTGTAAAATGTAGACAACTGGGGACTGAGGTGCCATAATTTACACTGGACATAGAATTTTAATGTTAGCAAGGAATTATTATAACTTGAAACCAGAATATAGTAAACTCGAACTGAAATTTTCCTCAGTGTAATGTATTAGAGGTGCTAAATGGAATGCATGTTTATTTCATATTAGGCTCTTTTTTCTTTCTGATGTGTTGCCTCTACTGCTGTCATGGTATAACTACCACAGCAACTGCCATTACTTGAACACTTAGCGCATGCCAAGTCATTGGTCTACACAGGTCGATGGCTGAGAGAAGGGAATAGATTATATTGCAGACAGAGAGAGATGTGGGCAGTGTTCGCAGGGCGCTCCCAGCCTTGTGGGGGAGGGTATGATGAGAAGAAAGGTATCTATACTGACTGATAACTAACAGAAGAGAGAGAATTAATCTGGTAGGCCAGTAGAGTATAAGCTATTATGTTTAAAGATAGAGTGAACAAGCACTAAATTTCAAGGAGAATGCCAGAGGGAGGTATAGTTTTATCCCCCCCCCCCCCCCCCCCACACACACACACTAGCTTTCAACTAAGTTCATCCATGTAAGTTTTTTTGGTTGTTGTTGGTTGGTCATAGAGCTTGAACTCAGGGCCTAGGTGCTGTCCCTGAGCCCTTTTTGCTCAAGGCTAGCACTCTACCACTTTGAGCCACAGCTCCATTTCTGGTTTACTGGTGGTTAATTTTTGATAGGCGTCTCACAGACTTTACTACCCAGGCTGGCTTTGAATCATGATCCTCAGATCTCAGCCTCCTTAGTAGCTAGGATTACAGGCATGAGCCACTGGTGTTCAGCCTCCACATAAATATTTGTATAGTATATTAGCTTTCCATTACTGTAACAAATACCTGATATAATCAACTTCCAAAGAGGGAAGATTTCATTCTATAGTTGACCCATTGCTTTTGGCTCATTGTTGTTACAGTATGTTATGGTGGAAACTTGCTCACCTCATGGTGAATTGGGAAGCAGAACGAGAAAAAGAGAGGGAGAAGGAGAATGGAAAGGAGTGAGGGAGGCAGGGGGGAGAGGTGGAGTATCCTAAGAAAGCATGGCCCAGTGAACTTAACTCTACCACTGGGTCCCACCTTTCAAAGTTTCTACTACCTCCTAATACCACCCATCTGGGGACCAAGCTCTTAAAACACCCTTGGGGTACACTCAAGGTCCAAATTGTGGTACACAGCCACATATGCTCTGCTACATGTGCAAAGAACATTGTAATATTTGTGAAATAACACATTTAAAAAATGTGGTCACAGTGACAAGACATAGTGCTGTTGTATAACGATTCATTTTCCCCGTTGCTTTTGTAAAGTTGCAATTTTCCTCATTTTATAAAAAGATAATTGAAGTTCAGAGAGGATAAGTAATTTTTCCTAGATCACATAGCTTTTGAGAACCAGGCTGCATTTTCATCATATGTTTGCTTCCCACATAGTTGAATTGTTATTCTTAACGGCAAGAATTGATACTATTTTATCTTTTGATGTTCTGTGATCTGTTGACTATGAATACTTGGAGAGTTTATTTGTTAAATACTTTGTGCTGAGCACTCAAGAGCTTCCATCCATATAAAGTTGCCACTGAAAAGCTACCCAAGGGTAGCAAAATGAATGGCCCAAATAGTCACGACAGTAGCCCATAAAGTGACTGCAGGCTTCTTTATTGCTGTAAATTACTAATGGTGTTTCATTTTCCTCATTGATACCTTTAGCATTGAGTTTAAAAGCAAAACACATTTTCCACAGGAAGAAGGAGTATAATTCATGACTATCTAATAGCAAGGGTCTGTTTTTATATGAGATTTTCAGTGCTGTTCAGAGATGAAGGTGATCTTACCACTAAACTTTTCTTTCTTTTTCAGCCTAAAGAAGTCATCTGCTGAACTGAAAAAAATCTTAGCTAATGGTCAGGTAGGTAATATTGTATATTAAGATTTTCACATAGTAATTTACTACTGTCCAGTTATTTTTAATCCATAAACTTATTAAACAATGAAGAGCCTGTGAATTTCTTCCTGTCATAAATGAATAACCTGGCTTAATTTGATTGGCAGAACAATTTACAGCACATTTTTCAAACTGTGTTAATGGGTTTCACTCCCAGCAGATTGAAGTTCTGTGCACACACCCTGCTGCCATCTCAGTTTAAAAAAAGTTAATCAGTTCTGAACAAGTGTGTCAACCCATGGGTTGTTGAACTTGCCCTGCATTCTTTCATTATCTTTGAGGATAAAAGGAAAAACTGCTACTTTCTTACCTTAGCTCTTTCTTTTGTCTTGAAACGAATAATGGCTTTATTGGGGGAACTGAGAAACAGCAGACCTTTGGCACATAAAATCCCTGGGCTTCAAGAGACTTGGCTTGCCTAGTCAATGGGCCATCTGAAGTCGAATGACCTAACCCAGCCAGTGAGGGACAATCAAGCCTGCAGGCCAGTTATTTCTCACTAATTTTGATTCAAGTAAATGGACACATCTGAAATAGTGTAGCACTTTTAAACATACACTGGTAAATTAAACTACCTACAGGGTTCCCAATTCCTCAATAGAAACATAAATGTGTATAATGTTTGTTATAGTGGAAGCCCTTTGATAGCCTTGGAGGCAAGCGCCTGTCCATTGCGATCAAGCCTGCCTATTAGGCTCTATTGACTGAGACATCTGTGTCACTGCAAATAAAAGACTCTTATTGATTTTCTTAACTGCTGTTCACTTCCCGTCCATGTTTCGAAGGCTGAAATCTTAATTATCTCAGATGCTTATTCAGTGTCTTCACACGATGACCTCTCCAAGCCTCATTGGCATTTCATGAATCAAGTACTTGTAGTGGAGCATGTCAAGATGACAAAGCTGGGTCTCCATGCTTGTCCTTTAATATCACCTGTAACATTGTATCCTAATAGATGTGCATGCCTTAAAACAGTGACCGTGTGACAGTGCTTCTGAAAGCCTTGCTTACTTAGCACACAGTCTGGAAAAATTAAGTTGAGCTGGCTCTGACAGCTGATTGTCATCCAGTGAGTGTGAATACTAATCCTTAAATACTCTGCATACAGCCGAGGACAAGTATAATCTTGATGGTCTTGAAATTTTAGGTAATTGTTTTTTGTAGCCCTGGGGATAGAATCCGGGGCTTCACATACGATAGGCAAGTACTTTCCCAATGACCTATACCCATCTCCCAAATTTTAGGTAGCTTCTATCAAAAATTTTTCCCCTTTAAGCAGCCAAAGATTTGAAGTCTACATGTATGTATCCACATGTATGCAGTATGAGATAAAATCTGAATAAAAGAAAAAATATTTACCCTATGTTATTTATTTTTCTTCAACATGCTTGCATTCTAGTTACTAATCGTACTTTATGTACAAGATGCTTGTATTCTTCAGCTGGAAAATATATTTCAAAACTGACAGAAATTAAGAAGCTTTAACTACATTTGTTTGACCCAGGCGATGGAAAATAGCCTGTCATAAATTCCTTTTTCAAAAATAAGAAAAACAGCTTATTTCTCTGGGGAGCTTTCTGAATGTTCCTAATATTTTGACAATATAGTACTACAAATACCTTAGTGATTTCAGGATGGGGGTTTTCTGTGGTGGAAGATTGTCATGGCAGTGATTTTTGACATTTAAAGATTGTTTATTGCTTTCCCTTAGAATGTGCTAAACCCCCATCTTAAATAGTATGGCATGTTTTCCCTTTTAATGATAAGCTCTTCCTATATTTGCTTCAATCACAGAAAAAAAAAAAAGGCAAAAGAACCCATCATCTATGGATGCTTTCAAAATACCTACTTGCCCTAATTCCTCCATTGGTGCTGCAGAGTTAGAGAAAGTAAATGGTGGGCTCAACTGTTTTGTAGTGAGGTAATGTGCATAGGGTACACATCAATAAATCTCTGGGTGGAATACTGACACCACTTGATAAGGAAGATGTAAGTCACATTTAACGATACTTTAACACTTGAGCATAGTTTTTTTTATTTTAGTGGTTTATGCTTTCAAGCATTAATAATGATTTGCTTTTCCACTAGCCTCCACTTAGATTTAATAAGGAATTCATATTAATCATTAAAAGAAAGGGACATGATTCTTCAAGATAATCAAATATTGACAGGTTAGAAATAGCTTTCTGCCTGGGTTCATTGATATAGGTTATGTGATATAAATATTTATTTCTTTTCTGTCACTCAGAGTAAATGCCACCAATTGATTCAGCATTGATATAGTGTCAACAGTTCATAAGAAACATTTGACTGGCTTGTGTTTTCCGATTAGTCTCTGCTCTATAAAGTGGGATTTACTAAATCTCTCCAATTGTCTGCTCATAGAGTGTGACTGCTTTCTGAAACCATTATTGCTTCGATTTGTGAAGCAAAGGTCTAGTGATAGAACTAGGTTCTGCCAGACCTTTACATAAAGAATAAGGATTAATTGAGCATTTTTATTTTAATGATTTATAAGGGATAGGTACTAATTTTTCTTAACACAGGCGGACAATAAACAAAGAACATTTTCTTTGCTAATCCATAATTGAATTGCATTTCATTTTTCCCCATTAACTTCATTAATATGATAAATCAAGTACCTTGTAAGAGGTTTAGTCTTTGGAAGGGACTCATTGTTTTCCTGTTACCATTTTGTGATGGAGGTTCTGTCCCAGTTTAAAAAATAAATCAAAAGCTATCTTTGGCATGTTTTATTGAGGCACGTAGATCAGCCTCACTGCTGTGTTTTCTGAATGCTTTTACCACTCAGATCCAGGGAGGCATCATCTGTTTAACAGCAGCCTATGTTTGAAAGTAACTTGAAACAGCTCAAAGGGCCAGTTTAAAGGATTTAAAAAGTGTTCAGCTACTCCAAGAATTGACCTTTTGTATCTCTAATATGTTTTTTCCTTTTTAATGTTTAGCTTTTGTGGGAGAAAGTGACGACAGTATTTTCCTATCCTGATAAATCAAGCATAAATGTACTGTTGTCACAAATCTGGAAACTAATTCTACATCTTTGACTATTAAGAACTTAGTGCTTTTAGAAAAACTCTTCAAGGTAAAAAAAAAAAAAAGTAGGAAGAATTGATATCTTTGTAAAATAGCTTTAAAAATAGAGTTGTCACCTTCATTTGGTTCATCTTAGATGTTGTAGGAAGGCTGAAGCATAAATGAGTCCATGTATGTAAAACAGAACTTCACAATGCCCTCTTCTCCCTGAACAGCCTGACTGCTGTGGGTGGTTGCTATGCTGTTTCTATTTCTTTCTTGGCTCCTGCTTCTTTTCAGATGGAACAGAGGCTTTGCCAATCATTTTTTTCCCCAGACTGTGTGCTTTCTTAGCTGTTGACATGTAGTAATCATAACTCCTGGGGCTTTTACTTTCTTTTCCCTCACATCTATATTGTGTTTCTCATCTACTTTTGTTAGTTTAGAAAAAGAAAAAGGAATTTGAACTACATTTATTAGCTATTTGGCATCTTTGAATAAAAAAAAAATCCCAAACTTTTTTTTGAACATTTTTTATATGTGATTTAAAAACCATTTATCTTACAAACATCATAGATAAAGAATCACTATTTACTGAGAATGCCTTTCAGTAGATAGTTAGCTTTCCTGTGGATCATTGACAGAGAGATGTGTCCCTACATACGGTACCTGAGACAAAGTACTAACATTAAACATTGAATACACACACACACACACACACACGCACGCACGCACACGCACACGCACACGCACACGCACACACACACACATTAGCCTAATTAAATTGGGTAATATGGTCTTGAAATGCTATAAATTGTGATTTTTTTAATGATACTTGCTTCTATGTGTAATATTTAAATGCAATACTCTAGAGGTTCATAAATCATACCCTTCATTTTACACTAAATATTTTATACTAAACATTTCTGTACTTTATTTTGCAAATTAATATCAGATTTATTTAAAAAGTGTATAGTGTTATTAGCTATTTGTTAATCCATTTTGATTTAGTATTCTCAAATTTTTAAAATTAATTCATGGTTAAGAAAAAAGAAAATTCCAGTAATTTTCTTTTTACAAACTTGTAGCTGGTTATGATGGTGTGCGTTTGTAGTCCCAGCATTCAGGAAACTAAAACTGGAAAAAAAACCACTGGAGTTTAAGAGACCAGTGAGAAACTCCTTCCCTACCCTCATACACTTTTTAAAACATAAGAAGAAATATTTATGTACTGTAATAAATCAGAAAATTAAACAAACGAAAAAGAATCTTAGTTTGTAATATAACAAATTTCAATTTAGCTAGACAAAGGTCAGTATAACTTTAAACATCATAAACTCTTTAATCTTTTTCAGTAGGTATTGTCGTTTTGTATGTGTTTGTGCTGGCTCTGAAGCTTCAATTCAGGGCCTGGGCCCTGTCCTTGAGCTTTTTATATTCAAGTTTAGTTCTGTACTACTTGAGTGCACTTCCACTTCTAGCTTTTTTGTGGTTAATTGGAGATCATAGTCTTGCAGACTTTTCTTCCATGGCTGGCTTCAAACTGTAATCCTCAGATCTCAGCCTCCTCAGTAGCTAGGATTATAGGCATAAACCTATCATCTATAATCATCTGGCTAGATACTATCTTTTAAAGTAATATATTTTTAGATTTGCTCTTCAAAACCACTAATTATAACAAAAATAAATTTTAAAAATGGCTTACATTGTACTTAGTGCTCATGCATATAAATATACATTAGAAACCATTTTCCCTCCCCAGTTCTCCTTGCTAACTCTCTTGTGGAAGTTCCACTTGTCCTCTGATGCTGTTGTCTGCCTGCCACTCCCAATGAGGCTAAAATACTAGGAAGGCTGACCACATTTCTGACCATAGACTTAAGCCCTTTTAGGGCCTAGACCCTATATATACTATATATCTACATGCTGTTTTCCCTGTATCTATCTTAGAGCCCTGGTCTCAGTTTGTAGATGTATAAATGAAATTTCTCCTGAAAACTAACTTCAAGCCATGATGAGAGTATACTTTGTTGGGCAAGGTAATGGTATGAATTAAGTTGTTGGAAACGCGTTTAGACTACCTAGAGAAATTTTCTTAGGAACTGGCCTTGTAGCCTATTTGTACTTACTAATAGCTACTACTCTGTATTTTCATTATTGACAAAAGTAAATCTAATAGCAGTTTTGCTAGGTTAGCATCTCCAGACAGTTTCTGTACTGCTTTTCTTCATGCTGTTTGAACGATTATCATTTAGCCCAAATAATATCATTTTCTTGTCTTTCTTTCATGCCACATCTATTATACAGGTAGTTTAAAGGTAATAAAGAACAGAATCCTCAAATAAGAAAGTAGTTGCCAATTTTTCTGACTTCTCTCACTTTTTTTTAAAACTGACCTTAGATATAGCAATTAGCTGATTGTAAATTGCATCAATCAAGTTGTACTACAATTAAATTGGGTGCTGAATTGGCCTTTACACATGGATCTGTCAATATTCTTTTAGGGATTGGCAAACTGGCTTGGAAAGGAAGCTGTTTCTGTTACCTATGCCACACTCCTAATTATCACGGCTCTCTGAAGCTTCAACTTCAGAAATGTATGGAGGAAAAATATTTCCCTTGATAAATGAAGCTTTTTTAAAATTCAATTGGTGGAAGTTTAGAATGAAACAGATATTTAAAGCTTTCCTATAATGGTCTAAGAACAAACTAATTTTTTTTCCAAGTGACATTGAATTTAAAACTATCCATTTTCTGCCCGGGCAAGGCAGTACAATTCCCTGGAAATTGATTTTTTTTCAGGGCTTACTTTGGCTTTTTCTAAGCTTTAGCTATATGGAAAATAATGCCTTTGTTAAGTCTACTTTGTGAATAAAGTTGGCAGTTAATTTTTAAGCAAGTGGGCCAGTGCATAAAAAATTACTGGATGCACCAAATAGTCTGGCTAGTCTTAAATTCATTTGATAAATGATTATGTAGGGAGTTCCTTAGAAACTCTGAAAATATTGTTTTGTGGGTATCGATGTAATTCACCCACCACTCATGATACAAATGAGAGTAGTATTTTTGGTATAATAAGTTTTATAGAACCTTAGTAGATACTGCATTCTGTTTTGTACACTAAATTACAAAAACAACTTTATAAAAATTACATGCCTGTATGTTTTCCCTTTCTTCGTTAGGTCTGACTGCATGTGCATTTTCAAGTGCATTGATTGGATACTTTTTCATCAGCATAATGTGACTTCTACCTAGTTATTGCTGTATACTGATTTATCATTTGTAAAGAAAAGCTTTTTCTACTTTAGGAAAATCATAAACATTATTCACTCCATTTGCTGAATGTTAATTATAAGGTCATTTGTGGAGTTTTTAAGGGCTGATTTATTTACAAATGATATATTAGATTACTGACTGTATATCTCTATGTGTGTTGTTTTCCCAAGTTTGACTTTGGCTATGTGCAGTGCTGCTTGGCATTGGTGGTTATATGCTGTACTGGAGACTGTTTTCTTATCAGCATCTCTGACCTGACCCTTTTGAGCTATGTTATATCATTCCATTTTGACACCTTTTATCAAACTTTAATGAAATGACCCAGGCAAACAAATTGTCATTAAACTTTCCATCACTTTGTCCCTTGGTATCGTCTTTTATAAATTGGACAGCAAATGTTGTATTGATCTTCTCGTTCTTGCAGCTGAACTTGAAATGACCCAGACTGCTTGTTGTTTATGGCCCAGAGTTGCTTTTCCTTGACATTTCCATCCACAGCATGACATCCTTTTTGTTTTTCTTTCTTGTGGAGATGAATGAACAAGACATACGGTATCGAGACACCCTTGGTCATGGCAACGGAGGCACAGTCTACAAGTGAGTAGTCAATTTTCCTTAAACTTTTGATCCACTTTTGCCAATTGCTGGGTATCCAAGTATTCCATTACAAAAAATTTTACATGACCACCAACATTTACTTCCACGTTTGACTCTACAATTTTGCAAGGTGTCTTCTACTTTCTCAAGAATTGCCTGAAAAGTGCATTTATATTGCCTTTTTAATATTTCTGAGTCCACCTTTCTCCTGGGTGAGCAGTTAATAGTCCACCATTAGCAAATGTATCTTTAACTGGCTTGAAGTTTAATGTATATATATTTCTTCGTTCTTTAACACCATCATGTTTTAAAAACTTGCTGGTACTTTATGCTAGTCCCTTACCTGTTTACGGCTATGCCCAGTGGTAGCCAAACCTTAAAAATACCATTGGTTTGCCCTGTGTTGACACTGTAAGTTATTAAAAAGCCTTTTCCTGTTGTATTTCCTTCTCGTCTCACCCTACTCCCCTGAGAGAATTCCTGCACACATTGATGAATATGTTAAGTTATAAAACTCTTCCTAAATTCCAGCTGTAGTGATCTTACCCTAAAGGAGTGTTCATTTTCATATTAAAAAATACTAACTGTAAAAAATAGTTCTCTCGACAGGGAAGTCTTCTTGTGCACTAGTGTAAACTACATAATGTAATATCTAGTACTTAATAGTCTGCAGTGGTGTATGAAAAATATTCCACTAGGAATTAAAAAATCCATACTCTGTAAGAAAGGCCTGAGGGAATAATAGAGTTTTCCTCCAGAGAGCTGTTTTCCATATACACCCTAATCCTGCTTCACATTATGATTGTGTTTTTACCTTATTTTAGCGCCAATATTAATAGGTTTAGTTGTAAAAGAATTTTCTAATTGGTTACTTATGTTCTTAAAATTTTTAAGTTCTGATTATCCGCATGAACACAGATAAAAATTGCCTTGTGGTCCCATGGCCTTGAAGGGTCATATTCTAAAATTTCTGACCATCCTTCATTTCTCCAAGAGCTTTGGAATAGAATTCTATTTCTCAGGGTTAGAAGCTCTTTCAGAGTCATCAGATCCAGTCCCTTCTCTAGAGCTTCAGTCCCTCTATAGATACAATTAACACGTGAGTGCTTTCTCCCAAGTATAGTCCTTGAAGAACTTAGGTTCACATTTATCACTTATTTTTTCCTACAGATGACTGAGTATTGCAAATAGTCGTTCTGTTAAGCCTGTCCACTATAAGAATTTAGAGAAATAATCATAACATTTCTTATACCAGCATTGGTTCTTGCCCTTAAAATTTTGGAAGCTGAGTTTTTCTCCTGGATCAAGCTACTATATTCTTTCCCATGCAGCCCTGCACTACATAAATGGCACCTTAGTCTCCCCTTCACCCTTATCTAATTTCCCTATTCTGGATATCCGACCCTATTCTGAAGGTTCCTGGGGAGGAAATAAGGAACACTTGTGTTTCTTGCTTTCACTGAACCTTATATTGTCTTCAAAGGGAATCCAAAACCATTTCTTTGGACTCCTAACTTACCTGTATTATTTCATCAAATGTTTACCTTTGTATTTTTAAATTGAAAGCCTATTGTAAACTTAAGATAGATTAAGAAATGTGCTGGGCTCCAGTGGTTCACATCTGTAATCTTAGCTACTCAGGAAGCTGAGATCTGAGGATCATGGTTTGAAGCCAGCCTGGGCAGGAAAGTCCAAATCACCAAAAAGCCAGAAATAAAGCTGTAGCTCAAGTGGTAGAGTGCTATCCTTGAGCACAGAAGCTCAGGGGCAGTGCCCAGGTCCTGAGTTAAAGCTCCAGGACCTGCGCATGCATGCATGTGTACGTGCACACACACACACACATATGTGTATGTATATATATCCATACATACATAGATTCATACACACATACACACACACATATAAAACCACCAAATCCCACTTAGTTGCTAAATTTTCTAGATACCATATCTTCAGTGTTAATTTAAAAAAAAAAATTTGATGCTAGAGATGAAACACAGGACCTAGCACATGCTGCACTCTACTGTTGATCTATACCTCCAGCATAGCTATTGAAATTTTCATCTTCTCTTAAATTCAGGCATAGGTGTGAGACAATGGGGGAGTATACTGAGAAGTGCACGACATTCCCATCCCCCAAGGAATAATTATAGTATGAAATTATGTTAATATTTTGGAAATTACTATTATTTGTGCTGATCCTGGAGATTGAAACCAGGGCCTGGGAGCTCTCCCTGAGCTTTTGTGCTCAAGGTTAGAGCTCTTCCACTTTAAGCAATAGCTCCATTTCCCGATTTTTAGCAGTTAATCGGAGGTAAGAGCCTTATGGACTTTCCTGCTAATGCTGGCTTTGAACCACGATCCTCATATCTCAACCTCCTGAGTAGCTGCAATTACAGGCATGAGCCACTGGCACCTGATGCTGTTTTGTTTCTTAAACCAGCTTTTGTTATGTTGCTCAGATTAGTCTTGAACTCCTGCTCAAGCAGTCCTCCTGCCTCAGCCTCCTGAGTCCAAGTGTATGTCATAACACTTGATGCTTATGTGATTCTTATGAGGAACGAGGGCGAAGATTTCCTGCTATGTAACCTTTGTTGTGACAAAGGTATCTCTGCCCTGCTTGTTTCATGTCATCCCAGCGTTTCTGTTCAACATAAAGGAATGGTAAAATCATCAAGAAACAAGAATCTACTCTACTAAAGTCTTTATGAAACATTGATGTATTATGATTGGATTTCCCCTACACAAAGTTTACCTTAATGGTGTTAACTATAAAAGTTGTAGGTTTTCAAACAAAATGATTACATTAGAGGCTATGCCACATAAACTAGATGAAGAAAATATTGAAAAAGCCACTCATTGGTAACAAAACTACCTAATGGGTCTATTTAATTTTTTTTTGTGAAGTGTAATAAAACTAATAACTACAAAGCAGAAGTTTGATGTTCAGTCTTATTCACTTTACTTGATGGGATATTTTGAATTTCAAGGGTTATAATATGTGTAACTGCAATGTATATTATTTAATAATGGATAAATTCTCATGTTTAAGCCTGTGTTTTCTACCGTTATATGATATGGAATCTTGGCCCCAGATGATTAAACCAAATACATGGATTCTCTAAACTGTCCTCTGCATTATAACCTAATGAGACCATTTTAAGTTGGCATTTCTCACATTACCAATTTGTGCTACATGAATCATAAAGGAAATATTCTAAAGTATAAGCCAGAGCAAACAAGGACAATTTAGTTAAAGGAAATAGGTATATTTTCATTATTACTTCATTTCCCAAAGGGTTACAAGATTTTCAACTTAAAGAAAAGGGGGTGGGGATTATATATGACATGTGTTTTAGATTCACAGTGAATTTAAAAAACTTTGAGAAAATGGGAAACAGTATGTGTTGGTGTTGCACTCTGAGTTTGAATACTACAGCTGCCATTGATTAGCTCTGGGACCTGGTACAAGTTATAAAATGCATCCTGCCTCTGATTCCCTATCTGGAAAATGGGGATAATAATGTCTATCCTGTTAGGTTGTTATGGAGTTAAATGAGATAATCCATAAAATCTTTAGCACTGTGTGGCACTTATTAAATGTTAGCTACTGGTACTGGTAGTACTAGTAATGGAAAAATTGTTTAAACTTTGTAATTTCTGCTCCTGCTTGCTTGACCAGGACTCTATAAGAAATGCCTATAAACAAGCTTTAAGAAGTTCTGCATTCATATTATAATATGCATTATAGTTCTGTTTTTTTCTCTAGGTGTGCTATAAATGGCAAGATTGATTTATATATTGTCTTACCTACAGTAATTTTCTAAAAGCTTCAAGGTATTTCTTTTTTATCATAACATTTTCAGATTACTGTAGGACAGATGGCTTAATGTCAAGCCCACTGGAAACTATGAGGTCTGGTGGTTGTGCTGTGTACTGTGGCAAAGGCAGAACTTAGTATCTTTCCCCTCTCCTCCCCTCCCTTCCCTTCTTCCTTCCTTTCCCCGTCAAGGCTTCAAGCTCTCACTAGCCTTGCTTCCTCATGGCAGGTTTTTCCACCACTTAAGCCATGCCTCCAGCCCAGCTGTTTTGTTAGTTAATGGGAGATGGAGTTTCTTGGACTTTACTGAAAAGACTGGCTTTAAACTTTAATCCTCCAGGTGTCAGCCTCCTGAGTAGCTAAGGTTACAAGTGCCACAAGTGTCTGGCTAGTAAGGATCTTTGATTAGATTCTCCCCTTGTCCAGCTAATTTTAGAGATTACATTATCATTAACCTAATAAGGGTTTCCAACATAAGGATACATATATTAAATGATTAATTTTCTTTTAATTTTAGTAAAATTTAAAACTTTGATTACTTAGCATCCACTGACCCATCATTCTAGTCATTTGTCTCCTTTTCTTGGGTAGTATGTCCATTGAAACAAATATAATGAACTAGGCATGGTGGAGCATGTGCACAACCCCATCTACCTAGAAGCCTAGGCAAAGTATTCTTGAGATCCCATCGTAACCAATAAGAAGCTGGGCATGGTAGTATAAGATGGCTATCCTGGCTACACAGGAAATATAAGTAGGAGGATCATAGGCTAAGCTGTGCTGAACATAAATGCAAGACCCTGTTTGAAAAAAGGTGAAAGGAATTGGGGGCATGACTCAAGTGGTGGAATGCTTCTCTAGCAAGTGCAAGACCTTGTGTTCAAAAACCTCTTCAGTACCATGGGGGGTGGGGGGGGGGAAGAGGGAGTGAGGGAAGAGGAAAGAGAAATAAATAAATGAATATGGTGACCATTCAGTGATTCCAAAGTTAGCCACTAGATTGATGGAGCTCCTCAAACTTTGGGTTCAGAAATACAATAACATTTAAATTATGGTAAGTCAGTTATCCAGTAATCACCACATACATGTTTGAAATGAATAGTGTGCTTTCTGATTCTAGCTCCTTCCCATAATACAATGAAGTGTCTAGTCTGGGCTTTGAGTTGAATTTTCTGTGATT